CCTCAAGCTGCCCAGGGCAGGGTCAGACTGGCTCTGAGGAAGGATTTCTGTGCAGAAGGGGCTGTTGGGCGTTGGAATGGGCTGCCCAGGGCAGGGGGGGAGTCCCCATCCCTGGAGGGGTTGAAGAGTCGGGCTGACCCAGCGCTGAGGGATCCGGGGGAGTTGGGAACGGGCAGTGTGAGATTCATGGTTGGACTGGAAGAGCTTCGAAGTCTTTTCCAACCGAGACGATTCTGTGATTCTCCTGCACCCGAGCTGCAGGTCCGTATCCTTTTGCATAATTGCCTGTTGTACACCTGCCCTGGCGTAGGGTGGTCCTCCCTGCAGAGACTGTCCCCATTCCCACTGAGATCCCACTGAGCAATGGCTCATGCCAAGGAGGGGAAAGAGCCCAAGCAGGCTGCAAGCCCACCATGGCATCTGCTGGGGCTTGGGAGGAGTGCTGTGAGGGCACAGCCACCGGCAAGCCAGTGCTAGCGGTTATTTTTGGGGGTGATACCGGAAGGAAACCTGCTCAGGATGATGCTGTTTGGGTGGAGGAGCTCTGAAAGTTTCCTTTGCTCCATCCCCACCCTGAAAACCACTTCCTCTCCGTGGCTCCCATCACCCTTCCTCCCCCGGCCAGGGTGCAGGGAGGCTGAGGAGACCATCCCAGGGTGCAAGGAACCAGGCTGGGGGCACCGAGAGGCTCTGCGGGGACAGAGGGGCTGTGGGAGGGAAGCAGGACCCAAGCCAGCTCCACTGGAATTTGGGGCAGGAGGATTTAGAAAAACAAAACATGAGCCCTTAAAGGAGAAAGCCCAGTGTTGGCTCAGGGAAAAGTGGCTCCAGATTTAAGAACAGGGATAGCTGGAGGAGATGGTAGGAAAATAAGCTGGTGGCTCTGGAAAGGAAAATGAAAGGAGAAAACTGGCGCAGATGAGAAATTTTCAAACGTAGGCACTTAAGAAGCTGAAGGTATTAACGGAGAGCGCTGGGGCGTGCTCAACGTCCTCAAAAAGTGCTTTTGCAGAGAACTTGTGTGCTCGTCAGGCTGAGCAGGTTAGGATGCCGCTGGCTCCATCCCCGTCCCCGGGGCAGGGCAGCGATCCCGCTCTGGCTGGTGCCCCCGCTGCCGTAGGCAGCTGGAGAGCCCGGGTCGGTGCTGTGTCCCTGTCCCATTGCTGTGGTGTCCCCTCCAGCACAGCCCAGTGCTGGGATGGTCCTGGTGGGGTCTGTTTGGGAATGAGGAGACTGAGTAATGACATGAAATGGTGCTGTGGGTGCTCATGCTGGCTTCCCTGTCCCCACCTGGGAAAGGGTGTAACACCTCACCTGCTTTGGTGAAGTCCCCTGAGACCTGCCTGGATCTATGGGGGTGAGGAAGGTCCTTCCCCACTCTGGGGTGGGACTGTGGTTCCCCCCATCCATGGGGCAGGCCCTGGAAGCCATTACCTCCAAAGAGCATCCCAGTGAACACTGGTCTCTGCTGGATCAGCACTGGGGGCTGGTGGGGTGGCCTCCGCAGGGTCCCTGGGAGTCAGGATTCGATCCTGAGCCATGGTGGGTACAACCGGAACTGCTGCTGCTTCTTGCAGACATCTGGAGCCTGGGGGTCATCCTCTACATGCTGGTGTGTGGCCACCCCCCCTTCCAGGAGGCCAACGACAGCGAGACCCTCACCATGATCATGGACTGTCGCTACACCGTCCCCCCGCACATCTCGGCACAGTGCTCTGAGTAAGCACCGATCCCCCTGCACCCCGACTCACTGCCCCCAGGAGACGCCTGGGAGCTGAGGTGGGAAAAGGGGGTAAATCTGCTCAGTTTGGGGTTGGCGTGCTGCTGCAGGATTGCGGCGTCTCCCCTTTCCTCCACAGTCTCATCTCCAGAATGCTGCAGCGGGACCCGAAGCAACGAGCTTCCCTGGAGCAAATCGAGGGCCACGCGTGGCTGCAGGGGGTGGACCCGTCCCCGGCCAGCCGCTGCCTCCTGCCCCTCACCTCCCACAAGCGTGTGTCCGAGGAGGAGCACGAAATTATCCTCCAGGCTATGACGTGCGGGAACATCGCGGATCGGGACACCATCCAGGAGTGAGTGATGGGGCGGGGTGCCGAAGCAGGAGTCCCCCGACAAGGGTCCCGGGGGTCCCTCCGAGCACATCTGTCCCATGCTGACGCGGGTCCCTTGGTCCCGCCCAGGGCACTGGAGGCCGACCGCTACAACCACATCACGGCCACCTATTTCCTGCTGGCGGAGAGGATGCTGCGGGAGAAGCAGAAGAAGCAGGGTCACCGCCTCAGCCTCGTCTACAACCTGGCCAAGGAGGTGCAGAGCAGGTGAGCCCCCCTGCTGTCCCCCATCCCACATCCCCCCCATCCCACATCACCGCTGGGTCCCCGGTGCGGGGTCCCAACCAGTTCCCCATCCCCTTCCCTTGCCGTGGCCCTTGCAGTGTCCGTCTGGGTGCTGACACCTCCATCCTGCCCCTTTCTCAGGACCAACTTATCGGATACATTGGGCCCCATGGGCAGCGGTGGCAGCCTCTCACCCTTCACGGAGGTGCCAGGTGGCCTCACCGCGGGCTCCCGGCTGCCCCCCCTGCCCACCGGAGGGGACATCGG